ATGAAATAATTGACATATTTACACTGTGCATTCATCCTAAAAGTATTGATAAATTCTAAAAGAACCGATAATACTCGAATCAAAAAATGGAAATACATTATAAAAATGCATTTATGTCTGTAAAAAGACACTATTCCAATCATGACATTGTTACATTCTTTCTTTTTATTTTGTACTTCGTTCAAGTCTTTATCTTTTATTGATTGAAGACATTTAAGTACAAGTAGCAATTAACAAATTTTTTAGTTTTTAATTCGTTTATGTGCGTTGCTTAATTGCAGTGAATTACGTAAATGAAATTTCTCTAATAAGTTTATCAAAGCGTGTATTACAAGACCCTTCTCGAACGATAAAGTGCCGAATCAGTCAATGGACATTGAAAGAATCTTATCGTAGTTATTTATATCTTCATAAATACGGATATATCAGTCTGTACACGGTAGAGGGTATTCGCTTACTATTTTTCATATACCTATCCACGCAAAGACTAAAGTAGCCTACAAGCGTTCTTTACGAAATTCCGTTTTTTATGATTCTTTATCTTGGCTCCTGGTCTCAAAACGATGGTACCATTACCCGTACTCCGACCACACGTAGACCCGTTCGGACTAAACGCACCTGTAATGCATACATAAAAATATATTTTCGTAAACCGTATAATTTCCGATTTGGACATCCGAAATTTATAATGCGACTTCTTACACTCCACATTATATTCATATCTTTAATATGTTATGCGTTATTAGAAAGAAAGAGATATGTATATTATACATAATTTTATGCACACTTAATTAGTCTAGTTTATTATCCTTGTGGATGATATATACGCTGTAAACAATTAACTTGTTACTTATCCAATTTACGTTAACAGAAATAAACTGATTACACTCACTTCCGTACCTTACAGTTTGTTCTATTTCCGTGTAATAATTGCGATTGAACATGATAACACATGTCACTACGTATCAGCGAGCAATTCGAAAAGTTCATCGGTTGGGTTTGGGCAATGTCCTACGTATTATATATATACATATATATATGTTAGATACACACGTAAAGAACTCCTAGGTTTCACCTTTGCACACATTGAAACGTGATTCACACAGACTCCTGCAACTTGCTTCATGAAAAGTGGGAATCGATGCACGTTCCAGCATATGCAGAGTGCTTTACGTATGCACACTCGCGCGTTATTCAAGATTCAGGATCGATGCTTTCAGTCACGCGATCTGGAAGATGCATTCACACTTGCTGGAAATAAGATTTCTGACATTAAGCTGGCATCAATGGCCGTTTATTTTCAGTTAGTCGCGGTATTTAACGAGACTTTTTTTTGTTACATGTCCAAGAAAAATCTATAAAACGTAGTTATTTAAATTTTTGTTAATTTTTACAAATGAAATATACATTAAAAAATTTAGTCCACTGAGAAACGACCGCAAGCACAACTATAAGATTGATCTACGTACAACCGTGACTGTTGATTGAATACTGATCAAGATAGTTTTCTAAACGCAGGCTAAATGTGGGCCAACGCTCAACCCTTTCGACGATGTCAGTCGCCATATCGAAACATTCGCTCGAGACGAAAAAAGAATACAGAAAAGGCGAAAGGATTGTAAAAATAATCCGTGTCGAATCTAATCCGATACAACTGTCTCCTCACGAACTACGAACGTGATGACGAGATACTTAAATTCTTCGCCACAGTTAATACATTATGCATCTCTCAAAGGGATTCTAAGAAAGCGCGCTGTCCCTTTCACACAACTGTTGCCGATTACAGGAATACATTAGTCCGTATCGCATTGATACCGATCATTACGACTTGTTCAAGTCGTTCAATACCATGTCTCTCCCAAACAGGAGACACAGAACTTTGCTACGTTATCGAATAATCTTAAAACGGACAAGTTAGGTAAAAGGATCTACTCACTTATTACAGAGGGAGATCTAGGACCGGTAGAGTACAATCTCAGGTCATCCTGATAATCGTCGTCGCAGCGGCGCATCTCGTGAAGACATCGCGACGCCAAGTGCCGGAAGACGCTCATGACACCGACGTCCTCCTTCACGGAGGTCCTTAGGAGCTTGCAACCCAAGGCACGACCGAGCCTCTCAGCCTCGTCCCTGAAACAATACCCTGCTCGAGATTACTTGAAATCGCGGCGTTAATTATGCAAACCACGCTTACGGATCAATGACGCACTGATCAACGAGGTCCATCTTGTTTTGTACCAGAACCGTGGGAATTTCGCCGCACTCGTTCTCCACCTGCAAACCAACAAGATCCAACGCTCCTTTATCAGTCTGCGAACCGCGCGACTCGACGCATTTTTTCTTTTCTAATTAACGTCGAGTAACAAAGTAACTACCGGTCGCGCGCATTTCGTACGTTCCGAAGAACTGAGCCTGAAACAGTTTAAACTTTAAATGTTAAGCGGAATCTACTGGGAAGATACCGAACGCGATACGAATATAATTATGAGTGAGCGAAATACGATTAGACGTAGTGACAAATATTCGCAGCTATTTACCGCTTGCCTGATTGCGAGACTCGCAACGTTACACCTTTCCCGACGGTGTTTCTCTGCAGCGAGCGAAAAAAGCGAACATACAAGTTTCTACGAAAGGAATTCGAGAGCGTGTGTTCGATGATCTTGAACGATCGGAATCATCCACCGCCGACATGCCTTTCTACCGTTAAGAATCTCTCATGAACGCATTAGAATATTTTTGTATCCTATTATGAAGTCGGAATCATTAAGGAACAGCGTAGGGAACAATGCTCCTATAAGAGAACACACTTTTAAGGCATCGCCGACAACAATCGCGTGCGTTCTCTACTTCAGACCCGTTTTACGCGACGTGATGGTAGAAGGAAACCGGAAAGTGTATCGATGGGAGATTCAGTTTTTCCTTGTCCGTTCAGCTCGTACGATAGATTCCGTATCTTTATTACAAGTGGTATCCAATACAAAGTGTAATAATACACAATATAAATGATATGACAAAGATCTGGAGAAAATATACAGCAAGGTAATAAAGATACAGAAGGAGCATATACAATATATGCATATATCAATAAAGTATGTGTACGTGTCAGGCTTATTATTATCAGAGCAATTATACGGGATTCTATGACACGCGTTTTCGCAAAGCGATCTAAGACACCGTCGTGTCGCTACCTGCGGAAAACGGCGTTCAGCCGTGGAGCGACTTAAAATCAGCCCCCTCGGTTTAATGGCACCTTCACTTTCACATTCCACTATCCGTCGCGACTACCTACGGAAACGTGGTTGCACCGGTCGGGTGCGGCGTGTATTTGCCTCGCGCGCAACGAGAGTCGTACCTTCAGCTTCCACGAAGGAATGGCGTCGAAGGAATCCCTGTCAGTGGCTGAATAAGCGAGGACGCAGGCATGGGCGCCGCGATAATAAGCAGCGGTGATTGCGTCGAATTCCTCCTGACCGGCGGTATCCCACAACATCAGTCTTACGTCCTCGCCGTCCACCCTGTGGAAACAAGGCTGCTTAGAAAACATTGAGGAGAGACTCTCCTCCGGTGAAAACTTCCGCTCGAGGACGTCTCCGATTCATATTAACACGACGGAGTGGACAATCGTGTTTCTCTTCCACATCACCGCGTCGGCAAGTTCCAACGCAAAGTCACCACTACACGTACAGAATTGCACGACACGCACAGTACCTCGAGTCGTAATGTATTTTCTCCCGAGACGAGATGCGTGCATATGTATGAAACGTGCAAATTGAATAAAATCGGATGAAAGGCTGTCGTGACCAAGGTCACCGGTAGCGGTACCCCGTACTTAAAACAACCGATGCATATGCATGAGTCTACAATTTTTCTTTTTTATGCTTCTTTTTTAAAACTACCCGCAAGTGGAACGTATCAAGTTGTCCAGGTCTGTGCCTTTTCCAGGGAATATCGAATTCTATGCAAATTATTCTCAACTTAAATCGTGACAGAGCCCCTGGCAAAATGTTCTTCGCCAATGCAGTGATATTACAAGGAATTTCGAAAATGAAATTCTCTTGAATATGTAATTATATCTTTGAATGTCTTTCTATTAGCTGTTTCTACTTCCTATTAACTTCTATTAATCAGAAAGGTTCGATCAGTGTTTGCGAACGTCAAACAAAAGCACCGGCTGCATTCAACGTATAAAATCGTCGATCCACTTAAGGAGCGTGAAAAGGTGAAAAAGAGAAAACTCGACCGCGTTTCTCCCAAACGAACCCGTAAGTTTGCGAGAGATCGAGCTTCGCGTATACCGCGTTCCGTTATTCGATTAAATTCATTCACTGTCCGAAACTTGCGGCGTAATCGTGCTTTCATTAACCCTTTCACCGCAGATGCGGAACACTTTAATTTGAAACTTCTCGTTATCTCAATTAAGCCGGCGCGTAATTACGTGAATGATTAATCTCTTAGAAAACCGGTAGAATCATTGTAATCAGATACATCTAATTTGAATAACAAGTCTGTAATAGAACAATAATCGCTTGGCGGATTATCGAACTTTGCCATTCGATCCATACTGTCGGCTATAAAATGCTTGATGATCACAATGCTTCAATGTTTATCGATAGGATTATAGTTTGTCGCGATCCTTCCAGCCGGCTTATCAATTTCTACCATTTCTTTTTATTTTCGTACGTTACCGGTTAAAGCCAGGCGCAAAAAGAACTTCCCTTCTTAAAAAGGCGACCACGATTACCGCGGGGCAAAAGTGCATCAGGAAGTATCCCACGATATCTCGTCGAGACGAATAACGTGCGCATTTCTCAGGGACCCAGAAACGCGTGTTCGTCTATAGAAAAACGCCTCGACGGTAAATATTTGGCGCTTGAAAGGCAACGAGTGAAACGATTGTAAAAGTCAGTGAAAATATCATAGCGGGACTCCGACCAATGAGCCGTCGGATTATTAATTCGAGATTTAAATGGTGAAAGAATATAGAGATAAAATGAAAGATAGCGTTTGAAACGATATATAATGTAGAAAGTAGCTTACAAATATAGTTGGGGGAGTTTCTCTTTAATGGGCATTAGTAAACGAATAATGAACTAGGAATCCGGTTGGATTCACAATTGAAGGAAAATATGATCGGTTTCTCAGAAAATGATAAAAAGATTTCTTAGATTAGAACGTCCTCCGACGAAACGTAATTAACAAGAAGAACGTAATGCGGGCCAGAACGCGTCTATTATACGTTCTTCTTTAATACAGTCTTTAATTATCAACCGTCGACTCATCTTCCTATACTCTCAACGGCGTGAAAACGATTTTCTAACTCGCTCGCGGATATTGATATTCTCACCATTAATGGTATATTCTTTTCCGATCGATGGGAACACGAAAATCCAGCGCGCCTGGCAACGAAGATCGGATTACCCATTCTATTTATAGTTTTACTCTTACTTACTCGATCTCCCGTTCCAAGAAATCGACGCCGATCGTTTTCTTGTAGTCCCTTGTGTAAGTGCCCTTGCAAAACCTTTGGATCATCGACGATTTGCCCACAGCTCCGTTGCCGACTATCACCACCTGTGAAGAAAAAATTCTGTACACACTCGACGGCCTGATCGATCGGGGCTCGTATCATCGGACTTCGATAAATCGTTCCTTTGCGAACGATGGATCGGTACCGTCCGTCATTATCCACAATTTCTGAATTGAGCTCTAGCCAACGCGCGTGCATGCACGATCATCTGGAAGGTGGACTTTCTAAACCTGTAGGTCGAGGCAAAGAAGAGCGAACACAGATTCTGCGAGTACCTTGCGCAGCTTTTCTCCCAGCTGATTGCGAAGATGCGCAGAAATCGTGATACACAATAGGGCAATAAAAACTGGAATAGTTTAAGGATGTATTGGCTATACAGTCAATCCCAAAAGTTTATGCACTTTAGAAACGCATTTTTTAAAAAGAAATTAGACGTCGGAAGAACATTGCTAATAATAAACAACAAAAAAAAATTTTCGATTTTTCCGAGATTTTTCCAAGGGGTACCCCTTCAAATTTTGCGAAATTTTCGTTTTTTGCCAATAACTCCCAAACGGATGGACATACGGAAAAAGAAGAAAAATAACTTTTATTTGAAGCATTTTTTTTCGAAATTATGAAGAAAAAAATTTTTCGTCAGCGTTTATACTTAATTAGATATTTCCTTCTATACTTTTTAGCACGTAGCTATTTATTATTAGCATTATTCTTCCGACGTCTGATTTCTTTTTAATTATAGGAAATGCGTTTTTCTAAGGTACATAAACTTTTGGGATTGACTGTATAGCCAATACATCCTTAAGCAATGATGATCCTAATAACCGAGGAACCGTATGTATAATATGCGGCACAACTGTGAGAACTATAACAATTCGAGTACGTGTGGAACTGTAACTGCGCGAGAATAATAATTCCTTGCCCGCTTTGATTTCATAGATCAAAACGATCAAGCCGTTTGATCACGGAAACAAGAGACAAGACTGAAAGCACGCACGGAGGAAGCAATCAATAAGAAACATTGCGTTCCGACTTGAGTTAGCATTGCAAACGCATATGCTTCGAGACTGTTACAATTGCAATAGTGATTACTTCTCGTTTACCTATTAATGCGAGTGTAGTGACGTACAATGGTTCGAATGGTATAACATAGTCGATAGACCGTGAATCGATTGACCGTCGAGACGTCTCTGTTAATTTCCAGCATTACCGTCGAGCATGATTGTTTTTAAAACGATCGGCGGACTCGAGAGGTATAAGAAAATTTCAACTACATGCGAATGCCTTTGGCGATTTCAGGTTGATTAACAGTTTTTCATGTACAGTTAGTAGTCGACTATGTAATTTGATATGAATAAAAAGAGGAAGCGCTTAATTGCAAACGTATTCTCACCGATATATCAAAGGTGTGCCATCATTTTTCGTCATGTACTTAAAGTACCGGTGTTATCGTTAATTCAAGGCAGTCTCGTGTCTAATATCATAAGGAACATCTCTAAGGGACTGATAAAACATCGTTTAATATGCAAATTCGTGCTGAATTTTTTGTTTCCGTAGCGACGAGACGTGAATATTTCAAGTATAACGATTCGTTTACTCACGAAATGATTGTATTTTATTGCATTCCGAAATCTGTCGAAAATCCCGAGAAACCATGTTCATCGAGGCGTCGCGCATTAAATAATTCTGCCAAAATCAAGATAACGGTTCGCCTAAAGCAAGAAGTGGGTTAAGTCGATAAGGACCTGAGCCCGAGTCCACGTGAACCGGTCCTTGGGATCGAGCTCCCGTTGGAACTCGTCTATATACGTCCGAGAAGTTCGATACACCTTAATAAACAGGCGGTGTATTCCTAAAAGTAGTCGTCAATTAATTCGAGGACGATACCGTTAAATTTTCGAGCACGTGATAGCGCAGAATCGTTCCGATATAGCTGCTGTAACTAAAGTCGAGTATCTGATTATTGGGACACCCTATATGTACGATATCTCACGTTAATCTGTGGTCATTAGAATTTCACGAAGGACAAAACGAATGTAAGGGACGCGAAGGACGTCCCAAGGTCATTTACGCTTTTTTAGTAAAATGAGTAAACGCCAAGTACTTGAGCGGCAGGAAACAAAAAAAGTTGGTTTCCCCATGCAAAACGAAGATCTTCACTTTGAGTAATGATATGTAATAGATTGATGAATTACTGCGTAATCGTTTATTAGATGTCAACGATGTAAATTGTACATCTTATATGAAGAGATTATAAGAGATAAAAGAAAACCACATAACATACGTGCATTCTTGGGATTTTTTTATAGCCTCGTAAATCTTATGCTTTCACAGGAAATATTCTAACGGGGAATACCGTTTTTCATATTAATGTCATCGAAATAGATGGAATTTATTATTAATCCCGACGTGCTTTAGTCTGGATTTTAATATTTGAAAATCAAAACGTGAATAATTTCAGAATATTATATAAGTGAATCGGAGACTTTGTTATACCTCGTATTTCGCTAGATCAGCTTAATTACAATTGCCGGCCAGGAACTCAATACACCTATTGGAGACGAACATTCATTACACCGATGTATGCTAATTGTGTGAATTTCTCAACTGTGATTCTTTCTCTCCAATTTTATCTCCATCAAATTGTACATACATGCAATCATGGTCAAAGCCGACACTCTGATGATGTTGCAATTTCAAGGAGAAGAATTTTAATGATATCAAAAGTACCATCGTCTTAATTAGTTATATATTTGTGGTATAGATACAAAGTTCCAGGCGTAAGATTCATTTTTCCTATATTCCAGAACGAACTTGTTCGGATATTTAATAGATAAGATAATCAAATCTCCGTTAAAATTACTCTCTAGAATATAAACTGTCATGTATTTCAATGATGATGATCAGAAGCCAACTATCCACGTTTACAAAATGTATTGCTTGTAAATAACGGTATACATTGACGTTCATATCAATCGTATCATCAGCGAACATCAATGAAATTAACCCGTTACGAACGGGGTTGATAATTGTGGCTCGCGAGGCATATAATATTCGAAAACGTGAGTAAGGTCGAATAGAAATCGTTAACTAAATTGATTGTAGTTATTAAACAGCGGACGGTGGATAATCCGAAAGACGCGCGAGCGTGGTCGAATGACTAAATATTTTTGCTCGTCTCTGTACAATGCAATAAGATATATAATGATGCATGCACTGGTTCTTCCAAGTGGCAGGCAAGGTTTTACACGAGCACATGCCTATGAGACTGCAAGTCCGTACCGTTATGGCAATTGAAAGGTAGAACGCGATCATCAGAAGCAGGACCAAATGATGTTGAACAAATTATCGAAATGCATATGCGTACATTTTTTCATAATCGTCACGAAAATAAAATCAAATAAATCCCATCTCTTCCCTCCTACTAAATCTCGTTGCTTGTTGTTGATTAAAAAATTATCATATTACAATAAGATTAACTTTCTTACTGCGAATCGTACCATTTGTCATTCGGACCTTATTGCGCAAACGCTTACACTTTTAACTTTCGTACATCGTCATTAATTGCGGGAAACTGTTACTGTGAAATTATATTAGTTTTATTATCATTATCCTTATTACTTCTGTTTCTTTTTACTGGATAGAATAAAAATGAAGAAAGGAACTTATATCGTTCCTAACCTACCAATAAATTAAGCCGGTGTGCGTAACAAGTACGTATCTACATACATGTTTCACATATGCATGTATGTAATATAATGCAGTTACAGATCTGTCACTGCGCATACGCATTTCCGAAACCTGATTTGAAATTTCACATAAAATCACTGTCAAATATAACTTGGTTTATAAACCCGATCAATGTTCACCCCTTTCTAAGCGTGATTTTAATGCTCGTATCTTTGATTTCAAGACGGAAAGCGTACGTTTAAGTAAGAGTGGTTACGCTTGGCGTAAACAAGTATAATCTACTTCCTCTTCGTCGAGAATATTTTAACGCGTTCTAATTGCATTTCAAAGCGCGCCAATTAAAGTCTCGGCCTGTGGAAAGTGCAAAGCAGGATCGCGTTCGTATCATCTTTAAAAAAATACCGTGGAACGAAAATGATGAGTGAAATTATCGATTACCTTGAGTGATATTTCGAGTTCTTCCTCCCGCATTCTGACTGTATCGTGATTAGCATAATATCCAGCTACGATATATCCCGCGATGCCTGCCGCTGACTCTTCGTGTGAAAATTTTCCTTCGCAAACGATCACCTTTCGCGGTATTTCGAATCGACCATCTCACGTCGCTGTCGGGACATTTTCACAGATTCTAGACGGAAAGACACTTTTTTCCGGTGCACAGCATCAACATTGGACTAAATACTCGCACCGCGTCGGGAGAGCAACGTACGCACCGGTCACGCGAGTACGCGCCACTAGCCGACTGAACACCTGTATGAGACACCTGCCGAGGCTAGCTGTTTGGTAACTTTCTCTAGTAACATTTCTACTTCACGTTAAAATCAACTGCCGGTTGAAAAATTTAAAATTTGAATGCTCAATATATCGACGCGGCACGAGAAAAGAAACATAAGTACGATCTTGCGTGTTTAATGTATTTAACTATTCCAAATCAAATCGTTCTATTTTTTATTGAGTGGACAGGAATCTTTTTAAATTGAACGACTTTTCGTAAAGTTTCCTAATATATACGAAATCATATAATCGAAGGTATTATTAAAACATTTGCAGATTATAAAAGTAAGAACCGACAAATCTATCGAAGATATAGATTACAAATAAATATTCAGAAACTAGGGAAGTAGGTATGGTACGGAATATAAAATATTACAAAGAAGTTAACATTGCTCGTGTAATATTTTATAATACGTGATGTATGTATACGTATAAATACATATTTATCATATAATATCATATGCACTTATATGATATAATATAAATATGTACGTTCTACAGGTAATTACATTTATGTATACTCTATATATATGTGTGTGTGTATACATAGAAAATTATAAAGTTATGTGTATGTATATAATATAATAATTGTTACTATATATGGACAATTTTAACGACAATACTTTGTTAACGATGTCATCATAGTTACATTTATTCTTTTAAAGTATATGCATCGTTATATTTCACACAGTTTATATATTTATATATCAGAATGCCTCCCAGGTTTTCAGTTAAAAATGATCATCAGTGATGAAATTATTGAGCACGCTTGTTATAAAAATTATGTAAATTCTCCATGCATCAATGAAATT